AAGAGAATGGGGTCTGTGGTGAAAACCTCCAGCATTATCTCTGAAACCACTTCTTCAGCATAATAGCAGGAAGAGGGTTTTCTAACATGCAGAAAACCAACACATGTGCTGCTTTGGGATTTAACCTCAGCAGAAGACCCAGTGCGGTGTGTGTTCTTAGCCAAGAAAGCTGTCTTTCATGTCTTAACATGATAAGATAATAGGGAAGTGCCATCCTTATTCTGTCCATACAGCACTCCATTCAACATATGCTCAAAAAAAGGCACTGTTTTCCCTGTGTGGTTTCAAAATATGACAGAGGAAGACAAAAATAAAGAGTGAGGAGGTGAAAATTTAGATGTAGGAGGGAAAATGCCAAGCAGCTTTTTGATTAGTTCCAGTTGTTTAAAACCAGTGGGAGAGGAAGCAGGTGGCATGTAACTCAAGAAAAAAATCAAGATCGACGTGTCGGCACGGCCAACAGTGGCGGGTGGGACATGCACTTTATGGAAGGAGGGAGTGTGAGTTCAGAAAGGTCAAATCCATTATGAGACAGCAAAGGTGTGATCTCACAGGGACACTTTGATGTTACATTCACAACAGATTTAAGAGACAGAAAGGGGAGAAACAAGTTAAACATTGCTGAAAAACATGAGAAAGACAGAAAAGCACCCAGAGGAGGTTTTTTGGCCAAGGGGGGGGTGGGGGGCTGGGTTGTGATCTCTGTGAAGAGCTTGGCTTCATCTGGTAGTGATGTTTGTTATGTTACAAGGCTGAATGTGATCTCTTTGTCTCCATCTCCCTCGTCTTTGGGGACTAAGTTGATCTAGCAAATCGACCTGTGCCGGCACACGCTTTTACATCCAAGGCAAACAAGGACAACCGATTTCGTAACATCCTTTCACGAACACAGGAAGTCGTGCAGGTGATAAAATACAGCACTTGGCTTAATACAGGAGATGTGAAACTGTGACAGTCTGTGACTTTATTAGTAAATCATTAAAATCATCTTGTGAGTCCTGAATTTACTGATGCATTAATTTCCTAGGAAAGATTCAACTGTTACTGTATATATTTTCTGTCTCAATTTATTGCCATGTAGACTGGTGTAATAAAACACGACATACACTCAGTCCTACAACATGAGTCTCCTGCCCTGCCCAGAAAGATTTATCCCTTTCACAATGGGGAAAATGTATACAAAAGTAATTCTTTATCAATGTATTCAATTCACTGTCAATGGATCAACATTTTTACAATTTACTTACTTCTTTAATAAGTCTAATAATTCTAATTTAATAATGTTTTCCAGTTTAAAAGCGATGTTTTTCTCCTGAATGAGCTCTAATCATTTCTGGGACAGATCTACTGCACACAGCCTCTGTCTAAAAATGAAAATGACATATCTTTGACTTATCCACCACAAATCGATTAATATTCACCAATACAGTGTAATAAAAGCTGCATCATTTCAACACAGCTGCATCTGAACATCTTAACCACATACTCACATGTGCACTCAAACACGCACACACCTATTCCTGAGCACAACGTAAATGGAAGAAAGGCTGCATACTTACAGGAGATGAACTGTGCCTTGTCCCGTTTCTATTTTTTGCCCCCCCCCCCGAGACTTTGCAGGACAATAGCAATGTTTTAAGCAAGAGAAACCAGCGAAGGGAAAGCAGAGGGTCATTCCATTCAGGACTAAACCCCGCTGCATGAAAAGCAGAGTAAATGGCTTACAGAGAGAAAGAGGAGGGGAGAGAGAAAGAGAAAGAGGGAGGGGGTGGGAAACCAGACAGGGAGTGAGAGGGTGACTGGAAGAGAGAGGAAGAGCGAGTGTCAGAGCGAATGGAGGGGGAAAAAAACTAGGGAGACAGTCGGGACCAAGAGATAGAGAGACAAAGGAGGGGTGGGAAAAAAGAAAAGACAAATGGAGCTTGTTTATGGAGGAAGTCCTAATCTGTCTTCACATCATCCTCTTTGATATTTGTTTCAGGACCATGGACAGAGCACTACCTTTTACTGTAAAAAGGGAAGATGTGAAATAAGAGTATAAGAGATAGTATAAGATACAGGAAAAGAATAAGAGACAAATAACACAGCCAAGAGGATAAATGTAAATATCTAACTATCAGTTTACTCACACACACCAAAGTAACCAGAGTCAGTTTAATTGAAACGTCATCCAAGGACTGTGAGATTGACTTACTGATCAAATGCTCATGCAGATCAATGAACTGTTGCTGGAGAACTCAAGATACACATCAGCTTGCATGATGGGAACATCAGGGTCAGGTGCAGGAAGACAGCCTCTGCTATGGATCTGTAGCTGCTCCTGTTACTCTCCTGCCTACCTCAGCTGTATCTGTCTGAACTCAGCTAAAATCACTAATTGGATGATTGGATGTTTCCAGCATAGATGAACACAATTCTTTCTTCCACTAAACCTTTCCAGTGTGCACTAAAATTGACCATCTAAGCACCAAAGTTGTTGTGTTCAATTTTAAAATAGGTACCACCACTGGAACAAGTGATTCAACGGACTGTGATTCCACTTTTACGAGCATCGGCAGAAACAGAACAGAGGAACCCATAAGAGGGGCTGTGTTGAAGTGAGGGGAAACACTGCCACCTGCTGAATGTACTGCATCTAAAAGCAGTAGCTTCAGTAAACTGTTACAAATCCAATCTAAGGTTAAATTAGAACAAGATGCACTCAAGGATGGACAGGCAATCTACAAGAGAAGGCTTATAAATGGAAACGGCGTCAGTTGTGACACCAGTACTAATGAAAAATTCAACTGATTGGGGGTTCAGGTCAGTTAGACAAAGAAAAGAATCTCATGGCTCCCAGAGACAGAGACACTTGAGATTTGAGACAGGAGTCTTACAGTGTATTATTGGATTCAAGAAAGAAAAAAAAAGATAAAAGCACAATCAGAGATGGTAATGAAACAAGTCACGTCAAGGATATCAAGTTATAACTTTGGTCTCTATCTACACACATGATGTGCCCAGGGTTTACACTGTGCTCTCCTGAGGAGATCATTAGGGGCTCTTTGTTCCACTGACAGAGAGGGGAAGGCAGATTAATGAATGTAGACACACTGCCACTGATCCGTGTTTGTCTAACACCACAGCCAAAGACTTAAGATCCTCTAAAAGAGCCTGATTTATAAATTATCTATGAATTAATTTGTGATAAGCACTGACAACATATAGTCAACTCTCAGCAGCAACAGCAATAACTAAAATAAATACTTCATTTTCTGGAGACAGACTCACACAATGTCTCTTTTCTCACATTCTCTTAAATCCTCCTCCCACAGATAGATTAACTGTGAAAGGAAATGTTTGAAAAACACGAAGACACACACGTATTCTTTCTCAATGCTTTAAAGGGATCAAAGCTTAAACAAAGTACAAACAAATTACCGCTTCATAAAATCAAAGTCTAATGCATGGCAGGCAATTAAAGCACTAATTCAATAACGACTAGACATTTAAAGTTTTGTATAGTATGTAGTGCACACAAGTGTGTAGCAAACAGTTTAAGAGGTTCTGAGTGTTAAAATCTACAACATGAAATGAACAGTGAACCTGGTGTGATGAATGGCATCAGATTCACTTGACTTAGATACACATGAGCAGGTGTCTTTGTATGATTTCATACATTCAAATGTCAACAGTTTGCTAAGAAGAGTGGGATGAAAAAGAAACTGTTGTGTCAGTGGCTTAAAGGTTATCTGCCCAGAAGCCTTTGATAATTGTTTCATTTTCATAACATCAGCTTGTAATTGCTATCGTATCACATTCGGTCTGAGAACAAGTTGCCTGACATCAAAACGGTATCAGGAAAGGCAGCTGTTCACTGCATTTCAAACAGATACTTATGCTTTTCTTTAAAAAAAAAGGTATTTCTAGCCAATTCCCACATTGTGTCACGTTTAACCGATTCACTGGATCGTGGGTTGGGTCCAGGAGGGAACACTGGTATAAATTAAACATTGGAGGTGTGTCTATTGAGGCTACTCTGTGCCTGATTGAAGGTTTAGGTAGACAAAGCAAGCACTGAATTCAGAGGGGACAGTACATAAGAAAGGACATCAGCATCCCATAGTATACTGTAGAAAATATGCATACACACATAAATGACAAAATCAGACACACACACATCAAATATGTGGGTAGTTCAATAGCCTAACCTTTTCAAAATATAAATATACCAACATTCCTCTCCCGATTGGAAATGGTGAGCTAAAAAGCACTCACAGTCTCCCCCAGTCTATATTTGGTGATCTGACTTTCAAATGGAGGCCAGAGAAATATATAGCCTGTCTCAGTCTCTGTAGACCCTGTCTGCAAAAGACTGGGGCAGGGAGGCCAGGGTGAAATGTGAAGAAAAACGGTCTTCCCAGGCTTTTCCCACAGCCTTTGACCAGCAACACTTAATACAACCATACAAGAATAAGTCCCTTTGAAAAGAAGAGTGTTCTGTTGTCAAGAGGAGGCTGAATGGAAGCCTGGTTTTGTCAGTACCATTAACATACTCGTACTTGTTTTCCAACTTGACTGAGCAGACGGCGCTGCCCTCTCCTGGCTCACACTGGAATCCAAATGACATTAAAGAGGAAGGGCGTGAGCTGAAACGCCAGCTGTGCTGAATATGAAATGCCAGGGGACACTAGAAAATCAAATATATCCAAATATCTAGGCTGGCCTGAGGATCATGCTGAACCTGCTGGACCAGTCCTGAACACACTTTTGACCCTGCAGGGATCTTAGTTACTGAACTAACAAAGTCAAATACAAGATAAACACACTAACTGTTTGCTCAGTACCGTATCAGCCCAACCCTTATTTAACAAGGTTAAATCTTTATTTAACAAGGTTAAATAAGACTAATATCTTGCATCAGTACCTCACGCTAAGCTACAGCTCGCACAGACCATAAAAAGCAGGCCATGCAGCTTACATTTCCCATATAAGTAGCTGCTTGCTCCAGCCGCTCTTACCAGACTGATCGTTCATCATGCGGATGGCTTTAGCTTTGGCCAACTCCAGCGCGGTGACCCATCTCTGTCGCTCCACCTCCGTGCTAGCCTTCAGGTGGTACGTGCGGCCGCCGCTGCTCAGAACAATGTTGCAGGCGTCCTCTGTGTCGATGTGCGCCGTGGCCAGGTTGATTGTTCCACGACACGTATGGGCCATCTCTGCCTGCGTCCTGCAACAAAACAGCAGGCAGAAAGAGAGACGGACAGGGAGAGAGGAAGACAAGCAGAGACAAGTGCTGAAGACACTGCTTTGACCTCATTTGTCACAGAGTATTGCAGGTAGGATAGTACAATAGACATTCATCTGGCCAATAAGCACAAGCAGGCAGGCAAGAGGGGGCATGACAAATGCTACAGATTATATAAGGATTCATTTTAAAGCTTCTCCAGTGCAGTCATCCATTCATGAGACTTGCATTAGCTAATGTTAAACAAATGGTACAGTCTGAACTTCAAATTCACTCAGCGTGACCTGCCTGCCCTGCTGTGAGTGTGTTGAATTGTGGGTATTCTGTGTAGCCTCCACGAAGACCAACTGTTGCACATTCAGTGGGCCACAGTAGTCTAGATAACAAGGCCATTGTCTGGCTCCAAGCCTCTGTAGTGAACAAAACCAAACAATGAATAACAGCGTGAACAAAGAGAGAACTGAGTGTGAGAGGTGGGAAACAGAGAGAGAGAGAGAGATAGCAGGGGGGAGAGCCAAAGTCGCAGAGCAAGAGATTAGAACAAAGAGCAAGGGCAAGAGTCTTGCATGTATACGCACTGTGCAAGTCTTAGCCACATGTACAGACTGTATGTTTCTAAAAACAATGTCTGCGTGGCCTGACAGTGTACACAACTGTAGCAGTAATGTTTATATCGTTGTACCACATCCAAAACAAAAGAGGAAGCGGCATATTTATGAGAATGTTACTCTATGTCATGACTATTTAAATAAGGTTCTCTCTGAACAGAGTTACTACAACTAATATGGTTAACTAAAAGCAAAAAACTCAAGAGACAAGACATTGCATTTACAGCGCTGTGGTGAAGAGCTGGCTGGCTCCCTGTCACTCTGACACCATTAGACAAGATAAGCTGCAGGGATGGACCATCATGGCCCTCAGAGAGCTGAGTGTATGCAGGTCTTCACTGCAGCCACGGACAGCTGATTTTGCTGATTAACACCCTCGACCAGAGAACAGCAACTAATCAGCCAAATCACATGCTGTGGCGTTTGTTTAAACAAACATATCCTCAGCCATTTGTGTCACATGATTGCCCATCCATACTCTTGGAAACAGCCACTTTGAAGCATGCAGGCATGCGATCATGTGGATGCGTCTATATTTGTCTGTGGGTGCTAACATCCATCCATTCATCCTCAGCGAGCCCTCACTGCCACCAGCAGCTGCTGCTCAACAACTGAGCTCTACAGCAGCTCCAGTCTCAGTCAACACTGACAAGGTGGCTGCCGCCTTATTAAGTCAGAGGTTGAAGTGTATTTAGAAGTTCTACCAGGCAGTGATTTCCCCTCACACTGCTTCTACTGGCTGAAGTCAAGTCTTGTTATAATGCCAATCCAGAACAAGCGCTTCAGTGTACTGCTCCTCTGCCGGCGCTCTCTGCACATCAGTTGTGCAGACAAGACCGCACTGGGGCCATGCGAAGCCGTGCGGAGGGTGGGCGGGGATCCTGAACAGCCCCGTTTCCAGCCGAGCCCGGCCGAGCTCAGCTGCGGAGTCCTGGCTGTAAGTGGGTCAACAAACTGAATGTGCTGTTGGTGAGTAAGATGAGATCCCTGCTGATGGCTTCTGCCCTGTGGGGAAGAGAGGCCATGCACAGGCCATGAAATTATACACTCAAGGAAACTACAAAAAGCTGGGAAAGAGAGATAAAGACTAGGGGGGGGGGCATTAATGCACTAGTAGGGGAGGGGGCAAAAGTGAGTGGGGGCAGCTGAGGGCAATGACAGAGGGTCCTGCATGTTGCGGTGAGCCAGAGAAGGCTGTGTGCTTTACCTGTCGGTCCCCTGCGCACACATCCGCATAAAACACAAATCCACCGATCTGGAGCATGTAATGACAGAATAAAAACGAGTGAACAACACAGAACAAACGGCCATAAGCATGTGGAGGCATACACAGACAGGACACAGTACCCAGAGCGTGAGAATGTAGAGAGGTTTTGTTGTGGCTGAGGGCTGAAATATCACAAGACATGGAGGGAGAGAGCGCCGGAGAAACGCTGGTAGAAAGGAAACATAAGAAAACCAAAGCAATGATACTGAAACATGGACAGCATGACATGACCTGCTGAAAGCCTGAAACAATGGTGAGGAGGGTGAGACTGCCTGCTCTCTCCTTTACAAAAAAAAAAAAACACAAAGACCACCCGGACAGGCTTTGACACACACACACACACACACACACACACACCGTAGCCAAGTGCTGAGACAGACGAAGAGCCCATTAACAAGATTAGATCACAACATCCACATCTCTTGCTCCAGTCACTCTGCTGATGTTGCCAGGCTAGGAAACGGGGTTCAGGCCAGCCTCCGGCCTCCAGCTGGGCCCACGGTTGGCTGGCTCACCGCTCTCCCGCCACGCCTCCCTGCACCCCGGAGCTCATCTGTGCCAGCAGTAACACCATAACCCGACTCTCCAAAAGGGACACGACTGGTGCCGAACCCCAACTGAGCACTTAAATTGATGCTATCTAGTTACTCTCCTGCAGCTGAGAAGGAAACGTGGCGGGCCTACTTTACCATGAAAGACAAGGCCGGATTCACTGATACGGCAGCTCCAATAGCACTCACAGCCTTAATGCCCTGTAATCTTCCCTAAAGCACCCAGCCAGATTTACTTCAAGAGGTGAGTGAGTAGTGCTGAGACTATTAAAACTGGGAGGAAAAGTCAATTAAGAAATTAAAATTGAAAGGCTGTTCAGTGAGAGAGGAAGGACAAAGATCTTGTCACATGTTCCCGGTGAGAATGGCGCAATGAGGCTCTTTCTGTGATATAAACTTAAAAACACGAGACATAAGGCTGACGTGGGATAAAAGACAGCCGGCCTTGCAGAGTCAGAGCCAAAAGTAATCAATAACAAGTGCAACGCTGAATCTCTATAAAACTCATTACAGTTTAACAGGCACAAGTGCTGAGTGTGTCAGTCCATCCACAGAGCCGAAGCATTGATCATGGTCCTCTGCTGCCCTTTGGCTTTTCAGCAACAAGTAATAGAAGAAAGCCTCTGCAGGCCTTGGGGATAAAAGTGATCCCTCAGGTTATTAGCTAGACTGTCTAGGCAGTCGGTCACTATTGATTTAAATATAAACTGACCTTTTACAAAGGGCAAACAAATACAACAACAAAATCAAACAACTGATCAATGCATCTTGGGCTCCATCTGACGTGACGGGAGTCGCTCGGACTTTAAAGTGCATCCTCTTATGATAATCCATTGTGAAACGTCCATCCATCAAATCATATCATACACTTATCCAAAGTGACGTCATTAAATCCCTAAAAAGGGGGGCTACATGTTCATAGACAAGAAAATACTGATATTATTTGTGTCAGAGCAGCAACCGTGAACTGAAGTGCTATTAAAATAATGTGTATTCTGTGTGTTCGTCTCATAATTGTAGGACGAGAACAAAAAGGTTGGGCAGGAAGTGTACGTCTGAGATGCAACAGAATTATCACTTGACGTACACTGGGGAAACTTTAATTAACATGCTGTCACATTTGTCAGACTGTTTCCCTTTTACTTCACTCACAATAGAAGTGCAGACAGTCGGCCAGTGAAGGCACAGACAGACGCGCACAAAGCCTGAAGTCAGACACACACAATGTGCTCTGCCAGGAAGACATCAGCGGAGGGGACAGCTCGTGCGGTTCACTGCCTCTGCGCTCAGATGTCGACGGGCTACCTTTACTTCAGGGAGAGCAGTCACCTTACAACATAATGGACTATTAATAGAGGGTAGAGGCAACAGGCATCTTTCCTTTCACCCCGAGCTGAGGGCAGAGAAGGGCTCTGGCTACCGAACCTCTGTGTCAAATAACAGCACTGACAACAAAAGACAATCTTGGGAAAGTGTGGCACTAGGATGTAAGACTGTAGCGTGGGATGAAATGGGCTCCAGATGTGGGGTTTGATGAGATTTGCCTGCAAGCACAACCAGCAATGATTGCGTTTATGACTGTTGGAGCTGAAAGGAAGCATAGGAAGCATCAAACCCCCGACACTGACAATCATTCACTCTGCAGAAGAGCCTTTAAACAAGCCAGTGAATCCTTTCCCGCTGTGTAGGCCATTCTGCACTCTAACCTCTCAGCAAAAGATGGCATTTGAAAAGACAATTATCCTCGAGGGATCAGCTTCGTGTCACATTAATTATTCTTATTACTGCAAGCAATTAGAGTTTGCATTAACACGTTTAAGCCAGAAGTTAGAAGGTTTTAAAAAAAAAACAACTGATATTTGATTTGTGAAGGCATTTAAACTTGCAGTCACAGCTTCGACTAATAGTACTGTTAGCAGAGGAAGGTGAACTCCAGCGGGTGCGCGTTCAACCATTTAATTAGGAAAACTGGGTCAGACGGGGTGAACAACTGTTGCAACAAATACTCCGTCTCTCCTTTGATGTGGACGGTGCACATGCACAGGTGGCTCCTGGTGAGGCGGCGTTAATTGCTTCATGTCCATGTCATAGTGCAAACGGTCCAAATGTTGGGTCGACTCATGAATTGGTGTTCTTGGCAATAGGGACACTTTTAATATTACGTTTAAATATTGGTCAAATAAAACTTCTTAATACACCAAAGGCACTGTGACCTAGAAGGCGATGCAATGTCGATAAAAGAAGAGATGAGCTGGTTCAACATGCAAGAGCCAAGCAATGAAAGCGGTGAGAAGTATCAAGCTCTTGTGTGCAAATAATCACAACTCAAATCCTTTTATAGGGTTTCTTTTTTGGAGCTTTCAACCACATCCCGCAATCTTTTTAAGGGAATAAAGCTGCGGAAATGTTCGAAAGTGGACGATAAGAGTTGATATACTTTGTCACACATAATGTTCCTGAGGTCAAGACTGAACTTCCTCAGACTAGACCATGTGACTTGTGTGATTTTCCCCCTGCTAGTAAGGTTGTATGGACATTAGACTGATGACAAAGCTGTTCTTGTTGAGTGAGTCAATCAACAATAATACTCTTTATGTACTTCATGCTGATCTCAAGTTATTCAAGTTGCTCTTAAGACCTAGTAAAGTCCTCTCTCTCTCTCTCTCTCTCTCTCTCTCTCTCTCTTTCTGTGTGTCTCTCTCTCACACACTCTTCTGTGTGTTAAAGCAAACAGGATGTGTTAGTTAAAGAATAACTAACACACACACACCTGTGGAAACCTGACTCCCTGGCGAGACGCACCTGAGCCACAGGTGTTGAGGCTATCGTTAGCTCCCGGCTAGAAACTGCGTGATGGGAGTGAAGGCAGAGTGATGATGATAGGCGACCATCTCTGGTTACAGTGATCCCACTGAAGGAGGGGGGGCTCGGCATCGTCAGCCAATGCAATGAGTGAATTAACATCATAGGGAATAGAGAAGTTATAAAAGCAGTCCCACTTGACACACAGAGAGATAGTTAGGAGGTTTAAAGAGCAGCTGTGGTATCAGTGAGGAGGCTAGCGGGATAGCTTAGTGTGCTAGCGGACGTCGGTGTCCACTGTAGCCACATTTCTGTCACTTTACTGACTTAAAAACACTGCTGCTGCCGCGTGTGTGTCTGTGTCGGACCCTCTTTTGCACGACACACAGTCAGCCAAAGTGCGTTTTTTTGTTGTTTTGTTTTGTTTTTCTGTCGCTGTCAGCTTGAAGTAAACAGACAGCTGACTCTGCCCATTTGACAGCTAGCTCATTAGCCCGCTGCTCCCCAGCTGTAGTGATGTGCTGACACAGAAACACTCTGCTGGACTAAATGTGCTGTTTGTTTTATTTTACAGAGAAATATCTGCGTCTGCAAAAAAAAATAATAATAATAATAATTACCTGTAATATGAAAGCAGGCCATTGCTGAGCACAAACCACCGCCGCTGGTACCCCTTCAGGTAGTTGGTCCATTTAAAGAGCCAGCCTTTGTAGGTGTCCGACCCTGGTGCCGGGGCCGCGGCAGAGGCGGACGCCGAGCCCTTCCCCTGCTCGCTCATCCTCCGCTCCGCCGCACGCCGAGGAAGGCTGCAGGATAAACCGGGGACAGCGGGGACAGGGACACCACCCCACCGGGTCTACCTGAGCGAGGACGTCGGCACTGACGAGGGAGCTCGACAGTGTGGGGAGGGGGAGGAGAGAAGGAGGGTCCGGTCCAGGGCGAGAGAGACCACCGTGAACCCTCTTTCACATGACGCCAGGAAGGACGAGAAGTGATGCCGAGACACTTTGCTGATGCAGACTGCAGAGGATTCAGAGCACAGAGCTGGACCGGATAGAAAGGATATTCCTTACATGGCCTCCGTTATCATCTGATAGGGCTGTCACCAAAACAACACGGATTTCCATGGCGACAGTGCCAAACAGTCCATGGCAGCAACCTCAGGAGGGAGCGGCGGCCAACCTGGCCATTCATGAAGTGTGGACCTGAATGGAAATGGCCGCTCTATGAACTACAGTCTATGATTGAGACCTGCACCACGTGATGTTGTTATTTAAACATTCCTAAACATTTGACATGCGGGTTTGGATGCTGATCTCAGACCTGATACTGAGTGGACGGATGTAAGGGTAGCCTGTAATAGTATATGCAACAGATGCACAGACATGAATACACAGAGGGGGGTAATGACAAGCATCTGGCACCTTTTCACAATGGTTGATGAGCTCAAATTCTCCAGAGCCCCTACCTGCTGATTGACCTTGGGTACAATCCTGCATCATTATCTTAAAAATCACATCTTGTGGAGGATCTTCTGTGTCAAAATTAGTTAATAAATGCATTATTATAGGTTATATATTGCTGGTATGGAGCATGTTCACACATACAATTGTGTTTAATTAAAATAACATCAAACTGACTGTACTTAATCAGGAATTTGGAAGTGACAGGGTACATGCATAATGCAGTAAGCCGCAGATTAATGGGGGTACGGGGATCAATAATGGCCCAACAACAAACTCTTGCCCCCGGGCACCATGACAAGTTAATGTGTCACAGAGAAAATATCCAAAAACATCATCATGCAGCACAGTACCATGGACAGTTACTCATTTAATTACTCAATTAAACTAAAGTTATTAATTTGTTGATATATTGACTGTTGTCATTATCCCACTGCCACCTTGAATGACAGTAGGTTATTATGACACTGGGGTGAGCACCAGACGATCATCTAGGTTTGTCGAATACAATCAAATCCACATTTTAAGCAAAAGTCAATAACTTGAAAGGACTCAGCGTCTGATGCCTGATCTGTTTACTACCTCTGATTTGACTCCTGATAACATCTCTTTACCACAAGGTGGCAATGTTGTCAAAATGATCTGAATGTGGTGTTTAATGTCGCACAGCATTGAAAAGTGACAAGACTAAAGTTTGCTGTTCTCAAATGCATTTAATAATTCATCATGTGTCCAAAAAAAAAAAAGAATTACTCACAGTACTAACACATTAAAAATAAATACAAGTAACGTTTCTGATAAAAAACTGTAGCCCTTTTTATTTGGAAACGCGCAGCAGACAAACCGATGAGAACTCATGCTACACACAGTTGCTTTCTAGTGTATCTCTGCTACATATTTCTTTTTTTTTTACTATAAAAAAAAAGACTACACACAGCCATCTGCCCTGATTGAAGGGTTCAACACTACATCTTGGAGAGAATCATGAGCTTGTGCTCTCACATGCCAGTGAAAAACGACCACATTCACTCCACTCAGCTGCTCATTACAATGTCAGAAAAAAACATGTATTACAAAAATTAAACACAATATCAAATTTAAACATCAGTGCAATTAAAACCCTGACCCGTTGGCTCTACCAACAAAAGCATGCATGTCAATTACCCATGAATCACTCTTATATACAATAGGTCTGCTTACTTTCAGTGCAGCCATGTTCACAAACTACCTAGCTAGGCCTAATCAAATGAAAAAGCAACTGTTAATTTCACAACATTACCAATTAGATACTATTCAGATACTGATATGAAAGCTTTATTAAGGTTCCCTGTGTGCACTCATGGGGTGTTTTGTGGAAGTCGTTGAGCTCTGCTTCGTTATTTATGCAGGATATCTGAGTGCAAGTTGATTACATCTATTGTATGTGAGGCTTTTTTTAATATAATATGATGATAGATAGGTCAGTCAGGACATCCCTGTGGGATTTTATTGCTCCTTCCTAATCCAACGCTTCAACATCTGTCTCTTATCTTTTTGTGTCTGTCCCTTGTTTGCCTGAATGTCAGCTATCAAACCTGCCTCTCTCTGTCTCCCTCACTCTCTCTCTCTTTCACACACACACACACACACACACACACGGACATCCACATTGCATGCACAGGTTCTTGTTTCAGGCTCTGCAGCCTCCTGCAGTTCCCAGTTCCCTGGATTTAATGTATTCATCAGAAACAGACACTGAGTGAGGGGAGGGAGCAGATTAAAGCCATACAGTACATCATGATAGGGACTGCAGTATTTTCTGCTGCAAGACAACCTTAAAACACCCTTCATCTGAACAAACTGCTTTTACTGTAGGCCAAGTTTGAAACAGGGACAAGGGAAAAACAAAAAATATGCAGGCTACTTCTCAGAATCTAAAATTAAACACCATCTAAGCGTATCTGTACATTTCAAGATAATCTTCCCAGAAATGGAGCATTAGCTATTTTCTGCTCTGTATTTTTCTATCTTGTTCACTGTTAACTGCACACCCTCAAAGAAATCCAAATGTGTCTGGTATGAGCGTCCGCTGTTACTGAATATGACAAATTGAAAAGGAAGACTCGATGATATTGCTGCCTCTCCGTTTTGAGTCTCACGAACACAGCTTCCATCCTGTCAGGCTCAGCTACAGCCATAAGACAGCCCCTCAAGACCTGCTGCTGCGTAATGTGGGAAGCACAGCCTCAAATGTGCAACTGTCTAGTTGATGTGAGGAAAAATAACTGTGCTATGCTAGTCATATTGGTTTTCACCTTGCTTCCTCTTCTTCTACCTACCTACCTTCCTTTGCATCTATACATTTGGCAGAATTGGACAAGGAAGTGGTTGGATGACCATGTGTGAAATTTTAGTGTCTTTTACAGCGCAAGAGTCTAATAAACCTCATTATGAAAAATCAGCTCAGTAAAGCAGGAGGCCACAGGGTATATTTCCAGCCATTTAGATAAAAAGTCCTTTTTCTCCACTGCCGCTCCACTCCTAAGGTGAGAGGGGTGGAGGGAGTTCTCTGGGTCACATGATGGTGCAGCGATTCCTCTGTAGCGCCCCCTGCAGACGGATGGAGGTGTGGTTCTGGCGCATGCCCCGTGCCACAGCGATGCCCAGCAGCTCTTTGAAGAGCAGGATTACATGCCAGTTAAACTTGGCAGAGCACTCCACGTAACCACACTTCCAGGTCTTCTTCACCAACACTGACACGGCCCTTCGAGGCATGAAGCGCTGCCGCTGCAGATCTCTCTTGTTACCCACCACCAGGATTGGCACCTCACTGCTGCTGCCTTCCCTGCAGGAGCATGAGAGAGGTGGGAAAAAAAACAAACAAACAGAAAAAGGTTAATTTCAAAAAGCACAGCTATCATCGTGGTGTTTGTCACAGTGGTTGGCTGGGCGTGTGCAAGATGTCTGTGTGCAGTTTTTCCTCTACTCTGAGGTGTGCGGGGGCGGACTGGAGGATTACAGCTCACGGGCTCAAGGGGCCTCCCACCACACTCTGCAGCAACTGGTTTACAGCATTATGAGGTGTGAAACTGTAACTGCAAGCCAGAGGTAGGCATATATATTAGTGATTCAAGACTTGTGTTTGTAATCCTATAGTGTTAATGAAAAACATCAACTTCCAGGAATACGTTATCAAGGCCAACCAATCCCAGTAACACCTGATTGGTGGTGGTTTGGAAATCCAATCTGATGCTCTACTAAAAAAGCAGCTACAAGAGGAAATCCAGGATTAGACTGTAGAGCAATATCATGAAGGAAAGAAGGCTGACTATATAAATCGCATTTCTAACAATGAGATTAATTTTTACTTTGAAGACTTTCTGTTTGGTTGGGTGCCAAAGTCAGTGAAGATGAAAGCTTTAATTATTGTTTTTCATGAAAAATAACATTCCAAAAACTACTGAAGGTCAAATTGAACTCACTATTAAAATCAGATACATTGTGAAACTTGAAGGAGACTTGCTTGAGCTCAATGTCAGCAGAGGTATACATTGTTAAAGATCTCTTCCTCTTATAATTAATAAAGCTTTCTTTTTTGATACATCATGCATCATCTTCTGACAAGGACTCACATACTTATGCATATTTGCACGTCCGCCTGCCTCGACAGATGGACAGATAGCTCGACAGAGAGGAAGACACAGAGAGAGAAATGTACAGTACAATTTTTCAAGCCCTGAGGCGAAGTTCTTTAAAGATATAGGGTTTAAAAACACATCCCAGTAATCATCTCACTTTTCTCCTTTTCACAGGTTGGGTGCACATAACAGATTTAAAATAACTCCTTGCATATCTGCTCGAGGAGTATTTTAGTAGAACAAGATGTACTGTATGTGTGCGAGTGTGTGTGTGTGTGTGTGTGTGTGTGTGCATGCATCTGTGTGTCAAAATTGGGGGGAACTATACAAGACTGAAAGCTGTTACACTGTCATAGTCTGAACTGAAGGCAGGCTTTGTGCTAGAGGGCTAAAAAAAAAGCAAGTTATTCTGGTTTTGAATGTATTTTGTCTGCGTTTTAAGCATATATACAAAGGAAAGTAAAATAAATAGATACATTCTTTATAGTTGACATCTACAGTACAGCCACCCTCTGCTGCAACAGCCTCCATTATTCATGATTTCAGTTAATATACAGTATCTGTCCCTTCTCCGCCCTTTCCTTCCCTCCTCCAGTCTGACCTTAGATTTCTGTCCGATGATTAAACATTTCTCCTGTTTTCCATTCCTCTCGCATTCACCCTTCCTTCCCCCGCTGCTGGTGATAATGTTTTTTTTGTCATGGGCCATAAACATTCAGGGTAACCCAAGAGACCTTTATTGTATATTCCTCTAGTTCTCAAGCCTCCTGAATTTTGCGGCTGCGCTTTGTTCAGTAAAAGCACAAATACCCTAAAAATAATCTTTAAATCACTAGTGACATATCAGCCGGCTCTCATGCAGCAATGCCAGAATCAAATGTCATTACTGAACTGTCAGGATGCAGGGCGGAGTGTGCTGAATTAAAAGATATCACCACAGGCAATCTATCACTGTCACACCATCACAAATGCGTAATTGTACGGCTTTGTGGCAGGATTGTGAAATTGGATGCTGTCTCCAGACTGGTGACACTGTGATATCATTAAAAATCACAAGTGAGGGTTAACAAGCTGTGTGCCAGTGGTCGTATGTTCTGGAAGCAGTATGGCCGGGTGATCATACCTGTGCTCCACTATCTGCTGTCTGATCATCTTGACGTATTCAAAGCTCTCCACGCAGCAGATGTCGTAAACCAGGATGTAGGCGTTGGCATTGCGAACACCTCTGCAGCGCAAATCCAGCCACTCCTGAAGGACAGACATATAGAAAAACGTTTGGTAAATATAGAAACAAGTAGATATAGAGTATGACCTAGACATGCGAGCCACATGTAACCTTGCAAGGCAGTTGGACTTGCAAGATAACAAAATCATCAGGCTTCAAGCTATGCACCTGTGTCTATCCACAGTGGTTCAGACCAATCAGTGTCCTGAGATGAACTACTGGGAGCTTCGACATGAGCTACTTGCGACGTAGGTGTGTGTGACAAGTGTGAGGAGTGACACATTTTATCAGAACTGGAGAGTGTTTCTTCATTGATAGAAGAGCAAATAACAGCAATGAAGGCGATGGAAAAGATGTCTCTATCTATTCTCTAATCTCTGTCTATTTTGTAAGGGTCTGCCCTTTTCCAAATGGTTTCCAATAACAACTTCCCAGATGGTTCTGTGTAATAAACTATGTGGTGCAGTCAGGTTAAGCAGCATGATTCTGGGAAAAGCAATCTTTGGTCCAGACTGAAATATCTCAACAACTATTGAATCGATTGCAATGAAATGGTGCCCAGAGAATTAATCCTGTTGACCTTGGTGATCCTCTCGCCAAGGTCACCACCAGCAAGTCAGTGTCAAATATCTCAACATCTACCGCATGGATTGGCACAACATTTAGTTCAGACACTCAAGGTTCTCTGACAATGAATCCCTCTAACTTTGGTGATCCTCTGACTTTTCCTCTAGCGCCACCATGAAGTGGATATTTGTGGATTTGAGTGAATGTCTTGACAACAATTGCTTTGACCTTGGGTACACACATATTCATGTCCCAATTTTAATGGCTTTCCTGATCCTCTGACTTCTCGTGTAGCGCCACCATCAGGTCAATGTTTTTATTTGTCCAATACATTGGTTTAGGACGAAATACCTGCTAAACTAAAAACACTGCCATTAACCTCAGCTGTGCTTTGTGTTTAGTGCCAATTAGCAAATGTTAATGTGCTATACTAAAATGGTGAACACTGTAAAAATTGCCATCATCATGTTCATTTAGTTTAGTTTATGTGACACAATGATGTTGATGTTTCCATGACCTCCGCCACCATATAATGCACCTACTTATAGAGTGCAGTTAGCTGAACAGCATGTGGTATTTCTGTAAATATTGTAAGCACTTTAGCTCAAAGTCAGAGTTCGCCAGCCCCTGCTGCTTAACCTCTGTGAAAAAATGCAGAGTCAGTGAAGTCTAGGAGCTGGCGTGGGTCTGGGAGTCTCACAGCCTAGAACAAAGTAAGCACTGCACAGTGCCCTAGCTACGCCTGTTCAAGGACAATGACAGAGGTCACAGCTTATAAGAGATAAGCAAACATGGAGCCTTCTGCCAACAGAAGAGGAGAAAAGGAACGCATACTACTGTTTAACATTATTTGCTGCTTGGCTAGGCTTTGTAATGCCGTGCACATGCAGCGGGGCAAACAGCAACATTTGTTTGATGGTAATGAGTTTCAAACTGTAATAAAAACACATGGCACCAGTGGGTACATTTGCACCTTACTGTGGGACAGTTGCTTCAACAGAAACACACTGACCCATTCTTCTATTCATGCTGTGTTTCCCAGAGATCTCACCAACCCACCATCACCGCTGTCACCGCCTCCAACAGCATGCAATGAATTTATACGCATTTGATCTGATAAAAGAGGAAAAGGAAAACAGAGAAACTTCGGGGGTGGGAAGAAAAGATCTGCTGAGGGAGGGACACGTGAAAACAAATGCAGCCCTGAGAGAATGTCAAAAAGATGAAAAAAGCAGCAGTGGATCAAGGGATGAGCAGACAGGGTGTCAACATAACCTCTGGGGTGCACGAACACTGCTAATGAAGGGTCTGGAGACTGAGAGACTGTCAGTAACTGTGCACAGGTTAACTCAATTCTGTTCTATTCAGTATGAGTTAGCAGGCAAACAGAGGATACAACCAGACCTTTTCAGTGCTAACTGTTATGCACAAACTATATTTAGCGCTTTAGAGATGTACAGAGATTAGACATAATAGTGTAACAATTTCATCACAGAAGATCTTAAAGGAATAGTTAGACATTTTGGGAAATACATTTATTCACTTTTGTTGCAGAAGGAGAAGATTGATACCACTTTTGTTTTTCTACACTAAATATGAAGCTGGTCAGCTGAACTTAGCACAAAGACTGGAAGCAAGGGGAAACAGCTAGCCTGGCTCCGTTCAAAGATAACAAAATCTGTTTACGAGGACCTTTAAAGCTCAATAATTAATCCATTATATGTCAGTTGTTTCATCTGTGAAAAATAGCAGGTTGTGTTTTTAGAGGTGGTTATGTGCTAGACTATATCTTGGCCGGGTGCAGTGATTTGTCGTCACTGTGAAGTTGCCAGGCAACCAGCGGAGACTCCAAGTCACTCATCAAAACGAATAAGCATATTCCCTAAAATGTTGATCTGTGATTACCAGCAAGTTTGTTTCACCTTGTGACTATGACACTGTATGTATGTTTATGTTTTGAGCACAGAGAAAGAATTTGGTTTGAAAAAGGTTCAAAAAAATTTGCTGCAAAATGTGATTTAACAAAATGTCTTACACACACACACACACACACACACACACACAAATGTAAGTCCATATTTGAACACTACTGAAGCAGTTTATTTTTTCATGTTGCAGGGATTTTCAAAGCTGCCCTGCTTGATGAAGTAAATAATTTGGCTTTGTGTTTTTTGACTGATGCACCTGCATCACAGGCAAAGAGGATTTGGCCTCTTTGGAGCTCTGTTTGTTGCATTGTGTTGCTTTGAAAACTCAGATATCAAAGTGCTGATTATCAGACACCTTTTACTTTTTATGACTTTTATTAGCATCAAGCTAATATAACCCTTATGTGTAGCAGTGTTTGCAATGATAACTGAACTGATTACTTTTGCATATGGTGTTTACAGTACATTATTTCTTCTGCCTACTGCAACAGCTTGTACAACTTCATATAGTAGCGTGCGAGAAATCTAATTACATTGCTCTCAAGGTTGGAGAAAATATGCTTTTCAAATCAACATACTCTACAGGCAATCTGTACAAATAAGATCAGCTGATAATTTGTGACAGGAGAGGCTAAGGGAGCAGGCGATGATCAGTGTAACTTCTAATGATGATAACGCTAACACGTCTGTGTCAGCGAGGAATAATTTGCCTTCTTTCAATTTGGAAGAGGGTGTTTGAGGGTTTGTGTGTAGGTGAGTGTGAGGAAGAAACAGCCTCACACATCAGCAGGGAGATAATGAGGCCGATCAGGCACAGAGACAAACATGTGGCACGAAAATCATTGCCATCAAAAGTGAAAGAGAAAGGGGGTGCACTGTGTTGTGAAAACTGGTATAAATGTGATTATTTTCTGTCTCTCTCCAGGTTGAATGAGTTTTCAGAAAGGAAAGCATGTCACAGAAGGTATGATTTCTACTGTAATTTCTTCTGGTTGCTTTTATAGTAGAGTGTCCAATACAGTTTAAATCCAACGCTGTGCCAAGCAGGCAAACACCTCCAAAAATATTCACCTATTTCTGCCAAACAAACAGGACACATTCCCCGTCACAGCACAGCATATTTTGACCATTTTCTGATAATTAAGGCAATTGACAACGCTAGATGCACACATTGGCTTCAATCGCAGCCTCTGTGGGACTAAAAATAGCAGCTTGTGTTGTCATCTCATATCTCTTTCTCATCCAAGTCTGTTTTTAAATGTGGAGGATGGGCTAGAAACAGCAACACTACTTCTCCTAACCCAAGAGGCAAAAAGAAAGAAATGAAGAATAACAGCAGGGAATACAAGACAGCGCTGCATTACCTGGCTGATAAACTGAAATCAAATGCATTTAAAATGCATGTGTGGGCATGTTTATTTGTGTGTGCTTGCAGGATGTGACAGTGTGCTTGTGGGAGCGTGAATGTGACGTGTGGTGCCACTGTCTGTATCCTCCAGTTGGCCTTCTTAACAAAAAGAGCATCTCATCCTTCACTCCTCAAGAGCCAAACAGAACATGTCTCCCTGACAACCGCAGGCCACGGTCCGTTTTAAGCAGGCTATGACAGAGCTGTATTGTCTCCCGATACTAATGGAGGCTAACTGAAATGAGTGGTTGTGATGGATCAATACTTAAGCACAGGAGGGACGTCGATGCAACCTGGTGGGGGATGGGTGCCTAGTAATTAGAGTTATGTCACACATAGGCCACGCTGACTGATTTACAATTAAAATCTATTATATCCCCTGGGAATAAAGCTGGCAGGACTTTCATATTTAGCATACAAACATGAAAGTGGTATCATTCATCTAATCTAACTATCAACAAGAAGGCAAATAAGCATATTTCCTAAAATGTTGAATTATTCCTTAACTATGCTTGTCTATAAACAATGATGACTCTACTAATTACAAAGCTCTAAGTTGTTTATGATGTTAAATGTTTCTAAGAATTTAACTTACAGTAAGTTTTCTAATTGTATTAAGTTTAATTTAAAAGACACCACTAAAACTTTCCACTGTGAGCAAAAACTTTGACACACAAATACTGAAGTGGTTTGTTCAGCTCATGCAGGCTTTGCAAATGCACACATCATATGTCTACCACGTCTGCGAGAGTCAAAATGGCACAATGCGTGACATGAAAAGCAATAATTTCCACCTTGCAATCAGACAAGGTATTGACAGAGATAACTGAGAAGAATGTCCAGAAAGAGCAGGAAAGGGAGAGGGAACGTTCTGTGTGGGAGGAAGTCATGGAGATACATAATGGCAAGAATGATAAAAAAAAAAGAACAAGAAAAATCACTGCAGAATCCGCTGTCAGGCTTAAATCCATCTGTCATTACATCCTATTGACACACTGTAACAGATGCTCTCTAAATGCAATGCTATCAGCAACAGACAGACATACCGCAAAGCAAACAAATCATTACACTATTGCAGCCTCGCAGTAAGATAATAGAAACCTTGCCTGTCTCCAGCACCGGAAAGGGTAAAAATTGTTGTCTGTGTGGTTAAAATGGGGTCACAAGTAGACTGCCAGAACATTACTTTTCTTCTTTCAAATATAATCTGAACTGATGAGAAATTGCCACGGTGCATAAGCATGGAGGCGTACTGACTCACTCCATTCTGCAGCTTATTCATCACAAATTTCAGAGGACATTATAAAACCTCATTCAGTAACCCTTACTTCGACAGTGTCCATTAAACCCTGTGCAACCTTTCTAATTGTCTGCAGCAGATTCCTACTGTCTCCTCTGTTGGTCTTTTATTCCCAGAAGTATTCCAGCAGAGAACTGTGCTTTAATTCAATCTGCTGTGTACTGCAAGTACATTTCAATCAGCTTTCGTTGTGCCGGCGCTCCGCTGCTCCTGACCCAGGCTACATCTCTCTGCCCACGGGGTAAATACAGAGCAGGACGGTGAGTCAAAAATGCCCCATTTCTCATCACCGCTCTCGCTGTGAATAGAGGACGTCACCGGACAAAGCAAAGAGAGCGTGTTTCTGAACAAGCAGGACATGACAGGAGGGGGAGAAGAAAAAGTACAGCAGGCCTCTCAGGGTCATTCCTCAGCAAATGAGTAACCATAAATCTGTCTGATAGAAATGTTTTGGCAGCACTCGGCTAATGGTTTTCTCTGCCTGTATACCTTCCACAATGGGCCTGCTAAACAGTCGACCCTCTCACTGCACTACACTTTGAAATGAGCATGAAAGGTTCACACTATATGATACAGCATGTTATCAAGCTGCGTGTGCTTGAAAGCTTTCTCATGTGACTCAACCTTTGGGACACACACTAACACTCCCACACGTGAACTCATGAGACTCATCCCGTCTTATTACTGCTTTCTGCTCACACCTACCAACATGGTCCCTAATGGGGGTTAAACACCATTTAGCAGTAGAAGGAAGAAACTCAATCAGTCTTTACATAGGGTCTCTGTGGACAGGAAACAATGAAGTACTGCAGACCTCTTAACACTCTAACTAAATGTTAAATCTAGTAGAACAGCTACATGCTGCTGCAGCCTGACAGGATGATCGCTGTGGCCTCTCAGCCTGCCTGTCAGATGTTTTCTGTGTTAACGCCAGGCTCTCTGAGCGCACAGCAAGCCAACACTTTGAGAGGCCTCTCGTTCAAACTGGGTTTTTTTCTTGTCTCCTCCTTGGCCTGATCTCATTTTCTCAGTGGCACCTCGTCTGTTTAGATAACCACAGCTGTTCTTGGGAGGGCTATGTGTGACACCAAAGGGGAGAGAAGAAGGGACATTCTCAGCAGCAGCAGCAGCAGAGTTAGGCATGGTGACCTTGGAGATTTCTATCTTGAAATCGTCACAGCCTCTCCACTAACGCTGCATTGGGCAAGAGTCAAACACACACCTCAAGTTAACTTGAGGTTTGCTTGGAGTGGGGGCACTTTGTGTCAATACCCAAGTACCTTTCACATATACAGAGACACACACACTAAACCGATATTTGTTGTGCTGGCTGGCTGAGAAATTTGTTTTGTCTTAAAGGATAGGATCCAAGTTTTTTCAGGTCCATCTTGCACTCACACGCTCATTGAAAAACGTGTAAGTGATGAGAGACAAAATCTACAGTGATGAATCTATCTTCATTCTGTATAAATATGTGTAAATGTGTTCAGCTGGAGCTAATATGAGAGTTCAGTCTGAGTCACTCAAATCAAGTGGAAATCTTTTTAAAGTTACGGCCTTTTTGATATAAAATCCCCACTTTGTCACACTGTTAGCTCATACTGGCTTTGGAATGAGGACTGTGGATTTCGTCTCCCATCACTTACATGAGAATTGCTTTAAGTGACCTCTTCTAGGCCGCTTTGGACAAGAAAAACAACAACAGTATCACTATTATACACATATGAGCTTTGGGGTATTGTTTTAAGACAGACCTGAACAAATGCAAACCTGTCTGTAAAAGAAAAAAACTTCCAGAGATGAAAAGCAACAAGAAAGGTTCAGACAAAGCTACAAATCTGCTTTGTAAAGTGACTACAAACCTTGGGCATTTGGAGCCACGGTGCATTTTTGCTATGATCCTGCAACCAGATGTGTCTCCGACTAATGAGGTGTGGCATATGACCTGTGGCCATGAATAAAAGGGCAAGCTGTTCTATTTTTAAATTGGGAGTTTAACCAGGTGCTGTGGCGATGCCTGCAGCACAATCCTGCTTTTATTTTCCTGTGCATATGAGCCCCATTGAAGCCTGTCACCACTGCTGGCGGTACACTGTCAACAACTCATCCGAATATATTTGAACAAGGCTCTTAGGAGTCTGCAGAAGACATGTTATGATTATTAAACAACAATATGCAAGCTGGCATTCCTTCCTCATGAGGGGGGGTAGAGAGAGAGAGAGAGTTTACAACGTCAAAGTGAAGCTCTCCCAGGCTTTAAGTCAGTCGGGTCTCCATAGCAACTAGTAGACTAGGGACATCTGATAGTGATGGAGGAATAAATAAAATTGGTGTTTGTGTCTTTGAGGAACGCCATTGGCTGGGAACAGATGGACACTTGTAAAAATGAAGGAGGGATTAAATAAATTAGATGTGGATCACCAAAGCTTGTATACAGCCTAATAAAGTTAAAGTTAAGGGGGGGGGGGGCGTCTACCTACGTCGTCAGACAGAGACATTATACCTGACTGGAGCTTGATGGAAAGGAGGAGATTGGCGGGACGTCCAAAATCTTCAGCTCATACATGTTCCCGTTGAGAATGACGGAGGGTCTGTACACATATCTGGTCCTGGTCGGCGTGTACACCTCCGAGAAATCGTTATAGATGAACTGGCGGATTATAGAAGTTTTCCCCACTCCGGGAGCACCGATGACTGCGATACTCAGCGTCTCCACCATTCCTGGAGCACGAGTTCAGCACCATGGACAGCGACGACAACAACGACAGATGTGACCGTCCAGAGACACAGCTGGCCGCCGCTGTTCTGTCGCTGCTCTGATGGAATTCAATCCACAGCTGCCCACCCTCCACCTCTTTCTTTTTTCTTTTTTTAAAACCAGCAGCTTCTAAATCACCTTAACTGGGTTCAACTGCGTGCAATTAAACGAATCGATGGCCGAACAAATCATCCAGCCGTCGAGCAGAGCGAAGAAACTTTATCTCCAGGCTGAAGGTGCAAAGAAAGGAGCCATGCAGCTCGGAGGTTGTCAGAAATAAAGCTCAACCATGATCACGCAGATGGAGGGATTTTTAGCTGCCTCTGCAATCCAACACAGAGAGAGAAACTCTTGGTTTTCTGGGGACATCTCCAGGCGACCTCGTCCCCTTGAGAGGAAGCGTAAAAGTCCGTCCTTGTTGTCTCCACATGGACATAATCTCACCCAGACTAGACTCTGACCTTGTCCAAGCGCACAGGAGCCCTCGGTGTCTTCATTGATTATCTCGCCCGCACCTCTCACTCATTTCCACCGATGCACCACCACCGCGCTCCTCCATCACAGGGAAGACGGGCGCACGGCCGCCAGCCTCGCAAATACGCTTCCCACGTGTTCTGAAATTGCATACAACCCCATAATCTTCTTTCCTTTTCGATGACAGAGAGATAGACTCACATCTATGTGATTCAAAAGAGAGGAGGCAATCCACACAGCCTGCAGACGTGCGTTTTCTGTAAAGGCATCTGGAGCCAGTTAACGAGCATTGTGTGTCTGCCGTTGGAGAGACATGAGCTGGTGAAGACTCTCTCTCTCTCTCTCTCATCACTTGCAATATCCCCTGCCCTGCTGCTCATCCAATAGGATCATGTCATGCGCAAGGCGTGTGAAAGCTTTCAGCTCCCATACGCCGCGCATAAATGGCAAAGGAGTAGGCCACACACATTATACATCATCTAGGCGTGAGGGTCATAGAGAAGCGGCGCAGGATTGAACATAAAATCTCTGAGGGACACGACTTATTATTGGAGAGGGTCCTTGGGCAGGGCAGGGGGCAATGTGTGCCATCAATCACTGCTGAAACGTGGCAGCACATAACTGCCACGGATCCACTCAGCGACAAGTCTGAGGAGTAAACATGAGACATGTTATGGTCCCTCAGAATAGCTGGATGAGCTTGTAACCTCGGCTTTATCGTCACCTTTCCAATGTGGCACCACTTTCTAACGAGACACCGTTATAAAGTTGTAACTAGTGGCTTTATTAAGGTTTAACAAATCATTTACTAATGCTCTAAGCTGTTAACAATAAGAATAACATGGTTGGTGTTAACCAAGGCTGCATTACCAACCTGGCAAAGCAGGAAACTGCCAGGTCAGGGGCCCCCAAAGCCCACAGATTCAATATGTTGCAATTACTTTGCGGTAGTTTTATCAAATACAATTACTTGGTAAGAACTAACTAAAGCACAATATGACCTGATGGGCGATAAGGGCCTTAAAATGATAATTACAGTGGTGGAAGTAGCAATAATGTAGTGCAAAGTCCTGATACACAATGCAAAAGTGCAAAAGTAATCGCACCAATATACATCTAAAGTACTAAAGGTAAAAGTACTCATTATGCAGAATGGTCCATGTCAGAATTAATAAAGTTGGAGCTAATTTCATACTGATGGGTTAATCCATAATTATCTAATCTTGAGTCCCTTTCCTTAACTGTACATGATAAGATATCTTTAAATGTGCATATTCGTGTTAACATAAACTGACTGCCACAAAGAAAACACAAGGGCAGTTAGTATTCAACAGTAGGATCACTGTTCACTGGGGAAATCTAAAACAAAAAGCAAACGTACTGCTGGAAGATACACACCTGCCCAAAAAAGGCTTCAGGGCCTGGTGACCCAAAAGTTGTTTTTTAATCTGTAAAGCATTGTTAAATTACTCATGAACCATTTATAGTCATTAGTTAAAGTTATAAACCCTTAATAAAAGGTGTCTTATTTGAAAGTGGTACTCAAAGACCATAAAAAAACACATCACAGCCATCTTAAATGTGTCAGTGTCATTGATTTCTTAGTGTCATACCAAGTTCAAGGATGATGTGAATTTATGAGTTTACTCCCAGATATGGGCAGGTGATTGACAATGTGCTATAAAAACACTCAGATCATATAGTCGTTAATCTTTCCAAAGCTAGAAGTCAAACATTGGTCACACAATCAGGTTTGGTGGATAATTTGAAGGATGGTTTCCTTATATTTTAGACTCAGTATGTGTAAGTTTGGTAACTTTAAATAGGTAAATATTGTACTTTTTACTCTACAACATTTATCTGACAGCTGTATAGAGTATTACTACCCTACAGTATAAAAAGTGGTGAAAATTAGCTGCCACATAAAACACTGCGTACACTGTTAAATATACATTCTGCTGTACTTTTAATATATTAAATCCATTTTGCTGCTAATACTTCTGTTAATCTATTTAAGTAATATTTTGATGGAAGACTTTTACTTGTAGTGAGGTATTACCCTGAGGTATTGCTACTTTTACATAAGTAAAAGATCTCAATACTTCTTTCATCACTGGTTATAAATACCATTCATTAAATGTTTAAATACTGCTTAGAAATGTTAAATAGGGTAATGTTACACTGTATATTTGATTCCGTAAATGCCAACAAATAAAAACTGTACATATAATTGAATACCTGAATATATAATTTAATATAAAAATGTCTTTTTGGATTCCATATTTTCAAAACCCTGGCTATAAACCCGGTTACACTATTGTAAATAAACAATGTAAAAATACAATGATCACTTTCTTAGTATTAACACGGTTTAAAGTTTGGGAGTTAATAACCTCCTTTATACGGACTGAGCCTTTACCAAAACGCGGTGCAGCGGCGCCCCCTGTTGGAATGCATTCATCACATAGGATCGATATTATAGATCATTCCTTAACAAAAGGAGACACTGACACTTGTTGCAGCTTTGGACGACTCACTCCATTGTGTTTAGTGCCCTTCATCATTCACAGAGGAACAGATCTGATACGAGGTGTTTGTCTTCACAATTAGGTGATGCAGTTGAAATCCTAGTTAAGCTTTCCCCTGCAGCTCGGGACTTCAAAGACCCTGACACAGATTCAGAGGAGCTGCTCCTGCTCAAAGATGCACTGGGCTGTGGATAAACCTCAGACTCCACTCGTGGACTTTGTATGCAAAGCTGTGAGAGTCTTGGAGCAGAGCTAAGCAACCCATGAGAAGAAACATGAATGCGTCAGAGGTCATGAATGATTATAAAGTAGGATGTGTGAAAACAATGCACGCTGGTTTCCAGAGACTTTGGGAATGTGAACTTTGCCAAGCAAATAAAACTGAGATAACGTTTTTGCGTCCTGTGACACAGGGACTTGGCTGACTGTGACACTCTTTGCACTGCAATTTTTTAACCTTTATTCTGTCATAAACGCCTAATACTAAAGAAAATACAGAAGATGTGAATTCATCAAGACTTTTAATAGTTCTTCTTCAAATGATGTACACACAATGAACAAAATCATGTAAATCAAGAGCATCTGATTAAACATTTGATTTTTTTGTTTTTTTTTTGTTTACAGCATTTCATATGAATCACCCGTCACCTCACACAAAGACACACACTCAGAATACACAGGCACCTCTGTTGTAATCTTTACAAGGTGTCAAAGTGCATACATCCTGTAGAGCCGATAAAAAGGGCTTCAGTGCAATGACTCAGAGTCTGCAGGTAAGACAGGGACACTGGATGTTGTTCTAGCCTTCTTTCAGCTAAGACACCTGCTACCTGCACACACACTTATTACTCAGAAGTAAACCATGACATCATGAGTTTAGAGAGATCTCACCTGAGCCTTCATCTCAGGCGGCCATGGTACTCCAAAAGCTGCTATTAGGATGCAGAGGAGCAGAGAGATCGCTGGTGGCTGTCACCGACACACCTGAGGCTCTCTCCCAGTTTGCCACATGTACACTAACAAGACTACAAACACAAATTAAACCATGGAATGACTAAGTAAGAGAGCAGGCAGTGGACGACTGCTGCTAGTCTATAAAATGTCCAGATATTGATGTAAAAATCAAAAGAAAAAACACACACCAACAGATTCCAAGCACACGTCAGACATTCTGCTTTCAGGGACAGCAGAGGATCCGATCCCACTGCTAACTACTGACACAAAGGAAAACTCAAAATGACAAAGACAACAATAGTGTAGTTTGTAAGTATTTATGTGTCTCTTCTAAGGCCCGGACAGCCACCTTGCTCTTCACACAGGCGGAGGGAGAGTTAAAGCCTTTTTTTGGGCCGCATTTTAATCAAAAGTCCCCTAAATAAATACGCCGACAGTGATGATTCACCTGCTGATTGCAGACACTAAAAATAGACTCCAATTTGCAGAGAAATTGGGCTAGATGATGATTAAAGAGGCTCATGCAGAGGAAACAGTCACAGGAATACAAGTCATACAGCCGTCTGTCTCCAAAAGAATAAAGGTCACCACAAGGTGGCCCACGCAGGGACGGGTGGAGGACCTGCTCAGGGTGACAGTGTTCATTCAGAAAATCTATCATGTCCTGAAACTGAAAATTGTCTGTGAACAAAACGTACAAAGAGGGGACAGAATAGCCAAAGGCAGTGAACCAGAAATGTCTGCAGTCTTGGGGGGGGGGGGGGG